CTGAGACTACTGACTTACCGACTAGCAAACTTACTGATTGGTTGATTGATTGATTGATTGATAATGGGAGTGTGACGTCTCACAAGATAAGGACAAGAACTTGTGTCTCAATTCTAAAACGCTGCTAACAGTGTCAAGTCAGTCAGTTTCATTGATCATTTATACTTTCAGGTCGCGGAACAGACGCGTCAGACATTGTCTCCAAAGTTCTATATACTGTATCAGTACTTCGGTAGGTAGTAACCTGAGCCTGAAACAGATCCTTCACGATGCTTATCCCAGTTTTTACTTGGTCGACCCGGGGTCTCTGGCCGGTCTTTTCATCAAGTAGCATCTGTCTACATCTTTTCTGGAAACATTAGAAGAACGTAGCCAAACTATCACAGTTGTAAATTCTTAATCTGGAGAAACAGTGGCTGCAAACAAGGTTGAACTCCAGACCATATCGAAGAGTGTAAGTTCAGGGGTCTCAGTAGGCCCATTTCAATCGTTTACACCTGAGACCATAGCTTTACAGTCATTGAACAAAACAGGATCTAGGAAAGTTCACTGGCTGCAATTCACCGACTGGAAAATATCCTGGTTCCACAACTGATCGCCGATGATTTATTTATTAAAAATTAGCATCATTGCTTAGGTCGCTAAGACGGTTTTTTAATTATGCCTTTTCACCCTTTAATGTTTGCTCCAGGATACGCATTTAAATCGTCCATCAGTGATAGCTTCTTTAGTTCGTACTTAATACAGAAATCTTTTTACTTCCTCTAGGGGAGTCATATTTTTCTCAGAATTCAAAGAATGCACTTATAACAGTGTCAGAACTGTAGTCTATTGCAACTTCAGGCAGATAATTATCGCGCATTTCCAGCCATGATTTCATCCAGTCTTCTGTCAGGCAAGTTAGGTTCTACCATGACACCAACACCACCTGATTTTTGAGTCGACAACTGAGTAGACTAGCTTCCGCCCGCAATGGTTCAGAATTCCAGAGCTCTGGTTCTTTCTCGACGAGAGTCCAACTATATCTAATCGGTACGTTGCGACCTCATCAACTCGCTCCTGTCATTTTTGTCTGAGTAAGGATATGTTGCCATTTAAGACCGCGGGTATCGTTCCCATGAATCCTTATCTGATGTATTATAGTGGCATCGCACTGTCTGCCTTCTCCTGTCAGAATGAGAAGCAACTCAACTGATGGCTGGTATCTTCGTCGTCTTCTTGTCAATCCTCGGCACTCATCACTGTGCTGCTATGCCGTCTGATGCTGGAAGGGGAGAAGCAGGCCTGATCGTTGAACTTAACACAGATAGTTTCAGCTAACCAACGACCTGTGTGGCTTTAGCACATGGCAGTACAGTATGGTGTTCAGTTTGTAATAGATATGAGCACAAGTCTAATCATAGTTTCACTACGTAACAAGGGAAGTAGGCCATACTCGGTTAATCTGTAAGACTCTTCCTGTTTGTTGACTTTTCTTTGGGTCCGATCCACTGACTGGAGTCGAACGGGGAGATTGAAAGAAAACTTGGTCAATGATAATGCAACTGATGCATGCAAGTGATTACCTAGGGGGAAGCAAATGCAAAAGGTTTTTATCAGAAGGTGTAGAGATGAGAGGTTAGATCCTACAGCATCCATACATGGAAGCATAGGAACGACAGAATTGTGTGCTGTGTTCTATCTTTCAATATAACAAATTTATTTTCACAACTGGAAACTATAGCCACCTAAGAACTGAAGCCATAAATCTAGTTTCAGTAAAGTTTTGCATCAAAATGTGGGATTAATAACGAAGCTGGGCCCTTTTTGTGGGTGCTCACTGCCATGAGGTGCAAGATAGTGGCGAATTTTGCTCCGGATTGAACAGTGCTTGTACACTCGTCAGTCCATTTTCAATAGATATCCTAACCACAAATTGAAACAGAATATATATTTATGTCGATAGACAATGTATTAAATTTAAGTTCAAACCTGCGGCTCGTTCTGGTTTAAACCATTTCGGAAGACACGCTACATACTTCAAGAAATGTTCGATTCTATTATGCTGTCCGCCAGATCTGCGATACTAAGCGTTGTTCCACTACGGAAAAAGTTGGTGCAATAGATGTAAAGAAACTGGTTGTAACTCTA